GGCCCCACGCAGGCAGTGGCGTGGCCCGCGTAGGTGTGGAATGCATGACTAGGTGGAGGCGAGCAACTGCCCTGCCACCATGAACCTCTTCTGAGGGCTGCGTGCTGGGGAGGCGGGAAAGAATGGAGTGGAAAGAAAGGACCCCGATCCCGCTCAGTCTGACGAGGGCCCGGGAAGCCAACAGGAAAGGTGTGCAGGCATCATGCGCCTGGGGTTGGGTGCGTTTTATAGAAGTGATAGCTTTGGAGTCAAATCTCGACAGGAAAGGAGTCTCAGGCAGCAGGGACAAGGTTTCCTGGGGAGGCAGCGGGGAGCCTGGAAACCCATGCCCCTCCAAAGCCAACAGAGGAATTTGTACTGTCGTGAAAATGACCGAAACAAGGAACCAAGTGCACCCGGCAGAAAGACCCAAGGCTGTGTGTATAAGGACCCGGGTCTCTCATCTCAGTGCCCGTGCGCCACCTGGAGTAGACAACCCTCCCGGGCCCACCAACCACTCTGCCCTATTCCGACTCAGCCCCACAGCCGGGGATCAGGGCTTCATGTACTTGGCCTGCACAGGGCTGGGCCCCAAAGCTATACCCGTGAGGGTGTGTGGAGCCATTAAGTCAACGTGGAATCCAAGCTGGGATGCTGGTGGCCTGCGATGTGCTTGCTTTGCAGTGATCTGCCTAATTCCTTTGCAGCAGGAGGGCATGGGTGATGGGGAGGGGAGGGGCCTGCTAGCCCTGCTAAACTCAGCCGGGCTCCCTATTCCAGAGGAGGAGCCACCATCTAGTGCCCTGGCCAGTGTGGTCCAGCACCTCCCATTGGAGCTCATGGACGGTGTCATCCGGAACCTCAGCAATGACGACAGCGTGACAGATTCCCAGATGCTGACTGCCATCAGCAGGTGCAGTGCCGAGAGCCGAGTAGTGGTCAAGAGGAGCCCCCTCCGCTAGCTGGGGGTCCTGGCTAGATGTAGGGTCAGAGGGCCTAGGCCCTCATGTTTGTTCATTCTTCTGTCATTTTTTGGGCCCTGATCTGTGCCTGCCCCAGAGCTAGATGGTGGGGAATGCTGAGAGCCCTGCCCTGGTGAGGCTGTCAAGCTAGGTACCAGCCTGGTGTGACCCTGGACAAGATCAGTGAACCCCTTTAAGCTTCAGTTTTTTCTCCTATGAAAGGGAAGGTGGGTGATGGTGTCAGACGTCCTCAGGTTCTGTGGTGATGTATAAGAAGGCAAAAGTGCTTCACGAAGTGGCAAATGTGAGAGTCTGTAGGCTTGTCAGCTCCCAGAACTCTTGCATGCCCTGACTTCATGTGAGCGTAGTCTCACCTGTGCACTAGCCACACCTACCTGATCGGTAATCTCAGAATCGGCTGTCTGCTCACGGCCTGTGCAGGCCCCATCCCCTGGCATGCCTTCCTCTGCCATGCTTTCCATCTCTGTGTGCAGAGACATCGTCTCCATAGGCCCTTCCTCATTTCCCGGTCTTTTTTTTTTTTTTTTCCTTTTGGTGAAAATATACACAGTAAATTTCATTTTCATTCCACAATTTTTAGACATAATAATGAATGGCATTGGTTAAGTTCTTCTCATTGCATCAACCGTCTCACTTCTGTTCTACTTGTTTCACTTCTATTACTACTTTGTCTCTTTGCTCCCTGGTGGTCTTTAACAACAATCTAGTGTTGCTAGGGTGGCTTTAACAACTAGAAGTTTATTCGGTCACAGTTTAGGAGGCTAGAAGTTCGAATGTAGAGTGCTAGCTCTTGGGAAGGCCTCCTCCCCACCTATGTTGACTCTGGAGCTAGGCTCATGTCTCTTCTCAGCAATGTGGACCTAGAGTGTTTTGAAGATCTGCATGTCTCGGTATCCATCTTCCCTGGGTCTAGGAGGTTCTCAGCACAGGGGCACTGGATAGAAAGGCTGTACTCTACTCTGAGCTCTTCTTTCTTTCAGGGCACCCACCCCCCACCCCACACACACCTCTCTGCTTACTTCTCTCTCCTTTTATCTTTTGTGAGATAAAAGGCAATGCAGGCCAGGGAAGCTCCCCTTATTCAGGGCTGTAAGCTAAGAGTGTCACATCCTGCCCTAACCCCCTTGCACTGATAACTGGCCTCACCATATGGATGAGCAAGCACCTCATTACGTAACTGCCAAGCCTGAGAATCATGTCCCAGCCAAATTGACACATATTTTGGGGGAGATACCATTCGATCCATGACCCCAACCTTCTTACCTCTGCTTTTTAAAAGCTATTGATTGACCTTTTGGCTGGTATAATTTTTTTTAAGTTTATAACATAACGTGGGGGCAATCTTTTCTTCTTTGGGCTGAACTGTTCTATGGTTCAAAGGTGGCTGCAGCGGGTGGTTTCAATGCAATTGAAGAACAACTAAGGACCATAATCTTGAGGGTTCCTCCAGACTCACTCAACAGCCCCAGTAAGCCTGGATTCCTTAAGTGTGTTGGAAGTTCTTTTCCACATACCATATATACTCGAGTATAAGCTGACTGGAAATTTTTGAAAATTTTACTTTGAAAATTTCGGGACGGCTTATACTCAAGTATATACGGTATTTCTCCCATTTTATGAGGACTTGTCTACTACTATGTTCCTGCTCATATATTTCAGTAGTGGTAGCCGGGCACCATCTAGTTTTTCTGATCTTGAGGAGTAGGAAGTCATGGTTCATGAAGACATTCTGGTAGTACAATTCCTTTTCTGATTCTTGGGTTTTGTTTTTATACTTCTTGTCTCTAGTGGCTAAGAATGTGGCCTCAAGAGGTAAGCTTCTTGAGTTCAAATCCTGACTCTACTACATTTTGCCTATTCAACTTTGGACAAGTTCCCCAATTTCTTTCAGTTTCCTCGTCTGTCCAATGGAGCACATTATAAGCCATCACAGAGTGTTCATGTGAGATAACACGAGATCGTCTGAGTGCCTAGAACAGTACTAGAAATGTCAGCAGTTATCATCACCTTTACCCTCAGGCTTGTCCCTCATGATAGCATACAGATGCTGAGTAGAATAACTGTGTCATTTTTCTGAGCACCTACTTTCTCTGCAGTTGCATGTTCCATCTGCCCAGACACAGTTGTTCAGATGAGTAACATAGAGCCGTGCCTCGTACAGAGTGAATACTGCACGGACATTAGCTATTGTTCTCTTTTCAACTGTACAGCAGGCCCTTGAGGCAGGGAGTTCCTCCATTGTATTTAAGAGACAGGCTCAGAGAGGGGAAGGGGCTTGTTCTGGGTCACACACAGCCAGAGGCTTGCAGTTGCCAGAGCTCCTGGCCCAGGGGCTGTGCTCCCCCACAGTGCTGGGGTGAGGCTTGTGGTGTTGCGAGAATGGAGGTTCCTGCCGGGTGGGCTGTGAGCCTGGCTCCTAGCTAGCTACCTGGGCCAGTGGGATCATGCTCATGCCATAGGCCCCAGGTGCCTGGTGCAGGTGTGAGGAGCCATGGGAACTCAGGACAACACTGCTGGTCCCTGGGCTGCCCTTACTCAGGCATCTGGGCTGCCCTTGGCCCGGTGTCACTGTCATTCCCCTTGCCAGGATGATAGACTGGGTGTCCTGGCCCCTGGGGAAGAACATTGACAAGTGGATCATTGCGCTGCTGAAAGGCCTGGCTGCCGTGAAGAAGTTCAGCATCCTGATTGAGGTTTCGCTTGCCAAGATTGAGAAGGTGGGTGACCTCTGTGCTCGCCCAGGCATGTGGCTTCCCATAGGACACTTGCTAGTGAGTGACGGGGCGACTCTGGAAGGCAGGGCCTCCGGGCATTGACCCAAACTTGCTGTGTGACTTGGGGGTCAATTCACTGCCCCTCTCTGGGTCCTAGGTTCATCCCCATTCATTCCTCTGACTGCTCACTGGAGCATGTGTTGTGTTGATCACTTTCGGTCTGTCTGTAATCCATCACACTTCACCACCCGCCCATCTGTCCGTGAGAACCTCTGTTCTGGCTCCACACGAGCCTGTGACTCCCACTCATGACTCCCACTCAGCTATGTCTCTGCCTGGGGCCACGCCCCTCTCTCAGGCCAGTGGCTGCCCCTGCCTTGGGTGGCTTGGCAGGGAACCCCTGACCCAGTGACTCTCTTCCAGGTCTTCTCCAAGCTGCTCTACCCCATTGTCCGGAGCGCCGCCTTGTCTGTCCTCAAGTACATGCTCCTGACCTTCCAGCACTCTCACGAGGCCTTCCACCTGGTGAGGACCCCTGCCCGCTGCCTCGGGAACAGGGGACTTCACC